TATCCACCCTGCTCGATGCAGCAGATAGGGCGCCGTTTATTATCCTCTGCGATGGCCAGAGCATCAAGAAATTGTTGTAGGAAAGATTCATTGTATTGCTCGTGTTTGATGGAAACACCACGTTTGCATCGTCGGTGTTAGACCTGGGTAATACGGGCTTCCCTCATTACAAGCTAATACCGCTACACCAGCTGAGGTGGTTGGGTCACGTACTGCGCATGTCATCGGAGAGTTTAATGCAGCACGCTCTATTCGTTCGCGCAGGGCCGCACTGGACGAAATCGCGCGATGGCCAACCTACCACATGACGACTAAACGTCAAGGCGCTGACTCAGTCTAGCTGTTGTCGGCACCTTCTTCCGGGCTGGGAGTCTGAGATAAAGAACATAGCTGGTTGGAGACTTGAGGACCTAGTGCGTAATCACGGACAATGAAAGTTTGCCTGAATCAGCGCATCGCTTCTGCTGATCAACACCGTAATCACCAAACTGACAAAAATTAAAAACGGCGTGTGACAAGCGCAAATGTCCTCTGTCTATTTATCGTTTTTTGGCTCACGTCTATTGCATATATATATATATATATATATATATATATATATATATATATATATGGTCGATACATTCAAGTGAGCTCTCCACAGATCAAAAGGGGAGGGACGTATAGAGGAGGTGGTTGACCGGTTCTTTTTCCTCTACCGATCAACACCGAATCCACAAGCGCCAGACGGGGTATCTCCAGCACAGGCCATGATGAACCGGAAGCTCCGCATGCCTTTCGACGCCATCCGACCGGGCTCGGAGTCCTCTGTTTGTGAAAAGAACCGCAGAATGGAACAGGAGTTTAACCGGCGGCATGGAGCAAAGAAGCGCTCTTTCACGCTTGGACAGAAGGTGCTAGTACGTGGCTACCGGGAAGGCCATGCGAAATGGACGCCAGGGACGGTCAAAAGCAAGCGCGGAAACGTAATGTATGACGTGATGTTGGGCACACAGCTTTGACCACGGCATGCAAACCAGTTACGGCCCACATTGTGCCAGCCAGAACAAGAAAGGCCTACTGACATCCCGTTCGATTTACTGGTGGAAACTTTCAACCTGCCGAAGGTAGCAGTGGACGACTGCACAAAGTCGAGCAACGAATCCAGAACAAGAACATCGGAACAAAGTTCTCGGGCGCTTCTGCCAAGGAGGTGGACCGACAGGCAGAGAACACCGTCCCGAAGATTGAAACTTAATCCCAGGCTTTCGTCTTATACCTCGGACCATATCTCAGGAGGGGAGGTGTCCGGGAAAAAGTAAGAATTGCCTTGGAAATTCCCTATTTTAGCGATTAATCGATTATTAACGATTACCGCATCGATTTCGGACGTTCCGGAATATTCTTCTTCTGCACGTGATTAAAAGCCACCTGACACCTCGGCAAAAGATATGGGGAACCACTAACCTTGGCAGCTGACCTTCCAATTCTAGAAGTCGAAGGTCAGTAGACATCTATAAATACAGCCAAGGCCCGCAGTGGTTGTACAGTGTTCGTTAGCGGTGGTTATTACGTTATTTTGTCAAGGTCATTGACGTTTTGCTTTTTTCCTTCGGTTGGGCTGGGAGTTTTGTGGAGCAGTAAATTGTTATTTTTGGAGTTGCGTCTAGTGAGAATATTATATATATATATATATATATATATATATATATATATATATGTGGTTGGCGGCATCCGGTTTCGGATTTGCCTGTCACTGTGGCAAGCCACAGGACGCCTGCGCCTACAGAGGGACCATGGATGGCTTGCGCTGCACCACCCACAGCTCCAACCACACACCCCATATCCAGTGTAAACCCGAAGGAATAAGACCGGGAGGCATGCGAATGGGAGCCACGTTTCATCAACGGAGCCGGCCCGCACTCCTTCACCGGCAAACACAAGCACACTGTATTTGGGGAATCAAGCGCACACAAGGCGGTGGCTGGACTGTAGTCCGCTCCACACTGAGTGCATGGAACCGCTCTTTGAGCCTAGCCCGGCCACAAGAACCGTGCACCCCGTCCCCTTCAGCAACGACCAACTGTCTCCTGGAGCCAGTGTGAACGATGTAGTGGGTAATAGACAGGTAGGCACCTTGTCAACATGCACATCAAGCGCAGCCTCACCGGGGATATCAAACAACAGCCAATCACTTGAGAGAGAGAGAGAGATACAAAGAAACTCACTCGATTAATGCATAAGGAAACGGTGACATAAACCTTAACTAAATAGCATACATAATAAGTTGTTTACAAACAACTCCTAGCTAAGTGCACGAGTTCAGGAAGTATAGTTCATGGAATGCCACGAACACAAAAATGTTATGGAAATCGAATACAATTGACTGAAGCGATGTGTGCAAGTTAATGGAATAGAGTACAGGGAGATATTTATATGAGAAAGAAAAGCATTAAGGTAAAAACTGTAAATACACCACCTGAAATAAAGAGACTTAGCATGCAAGCATGCGGTTAGTAAATCGAATTCAGCGTTCCTACAAACGCTGCGCCGGCTCGTCGTAATTCTCTGCAGGACCCGTCGTCGCTTCTGTAGTGGCCCCAAATGGCACAGCGCATGGCCCACTAGACATTTATATGAGAAAGAAAGGCATTAGAAGAGAACCGGAAACACACCACCTGAAATAAAGAGACTTAGCATGCAAGCATGCGGTTAGTAAATCGAATTCAGCGTGCCTACAAACGCTGCGCCGGTGCTGCCTACGTTCACTGCGGGACCCGTCGTCGCTTCGGCAGTGGTCCCGAGTGACCTCTCTCATGGCTCACTAGGCCTGGCTGACTAAGGCACTCGCGACCGCATGTTCTACAGCACAATGCGCTCGATGTCGATGGAGTACAATTCATCGGTGCTTGCCGCTTCTGCAACTGCCGCTTCTTCTCTGCATGCATGAGGGATTTCTCACTCACTTCAGCAACTGCCTTCGTGATTAGATCGCGCCATGCACGCCGATCAACCGCCTTCGATTCCCATGATCTGCAATCAAGATTAGAACGTGTGAGGTTCACTTTAATCATATCCTGGTAACGTAACTTTGGTTTCCCCACGTGCCGCTTCCCAATACTCAGCTGACCGTTTAAGAGTTGTTTCGGTATCCGCGTCGAATCCATACGGCTCACATGACCGAGCCATCTCAGGTGTCTCAATAAAAGTATGCAGTCCACTGCATACATCCCACTTCGGCGCAAAGCGTCCGTGTCTGCAACTCTGTCGCCTCAGCCGATCCGCAAAATTCGTCGCAGACACTGCTGATGGAACCGCTCGAGATATCGCACATCCCGCCGGTACATCGTCCACGTTTCACTGCCGTATAGAAGAACGGACAGTACCATGGATTTGTACACCATCAGCTTCGTGCCAACGGTAAGCCGATGGTTGTTCCACACTCGGTACTCAAGCTTCCCGAATACCGCCGCTGCTTTCGACACGCGGATACGCAGCTCACTGTGTAGCTGCTGATCAGTCGATATCACACTCCCAAGGTAGCAGAAGCGGGAGGTGGTTTCCAATACTTCAGCACCAATGCTGATTCGCGGCAATATTGAAGATTGCACCTCCGGTGAAGGCTGAAAGCGACAGACAGTTTTGCTTGTGTTGATGGTGAGCCCGAATTTGGCCGCTGTCGAAGCCAGAGCACTAGTCATGTGCTGCAACTCATCCGCGCTGTGTGAAAACAACGCACAGTCGTCAGCAAACAGCAACATGCGGATAGTTGTCTCACAGACTAGAATTCTCGACCCGGAAAGACTGATGTTCAGCAACCCACCATCAATACGGTGCTCCACACGAACACCGTAAGATATATATATATATATATATATATATATATATGTATATATATATATATATATATATATATATATATATATATATATATATGCAGTGTCAAAACATTCCCAGAAAGGACCTAGCCTTTGTAGTTTAGGTACAAGCGGTTTGCCTTGAGATCCTGGTTAAGGTTATGTATTGCCATGCGGTCATCTGATCCCCACCCAAAAGTCATCAAGTTTTATGCTGTGTTCCTGAACACCGTCATGCATTTTACTCACGAACCCTGTAACCTGATAGCCACAGTTTTTGACTGATGCCTATGAAATAATTAGTTTGGCCGTTGCGTCCGCGTGATATTTTCGCATCAGGATGAGTTTGCTCCAGCGTACCTCCTGTGAAGCACAAACGTCCTTGACCTATTGTTACTTCTTTTTTCCCTTCGTTTTCACAGATTACCATATTGCTTGACAGGCCATCTCACCTGCACCGTTTTTGTCGTGAATCGCTTGGTTAACATCCGTGTATTGAACATGGTCCTACTTTACCCATGCCTCCGGCCCGCGGCTTCGCGCTGGTGCAGGGTAGTAATATTCACACCCCATTTCGGCTGCTTAGCTTAGCTAGTTTTATCCCACATGGACCAGACGTTTTTGCGCACAGTCCCGAGTGGACAGCCAAATGATCTACTGGATTCACACTTCAGCCTCTTTGTTTTGTGTCACATTATGCCTCTGACAACAAGACGGTTTTACATTCGGTCATCTACCATATCATCTACTATTGCTCCTGACTTCAGTGCAAATTAGATCCTGGCTGGCTAACTGGTTGGTCAATTTTTCGCTCTGATCACCAACATGCAACAGCCCGAGATTCAGCACCGCACATTCTCAACATGAGTGCTGTTTGTTTTTAGGGGACCGTGTTCAGTTCACTGGAGGCTCAAATACTGAACTCGATAGGGACACAAGGTTACCTAACCGAATTTATTCACCTTTCGAACCACGTGATGTAACAACTGGCACATGCATCGGCTCTACTTTTCGTTGTTGTTATTGTTGTAACCATCCTACAGTTTGCCATCGCTCTGAATCGATCCCAGACTGGACGTTGCTTACGGTTCCCTCGAAACCTTTTGTGTAACCCTGCGGTTCATGTTGGGCGCTTCTACGTGCTCTATCTCGTTCACATTTCAGGATACTCTAGCTAAAGAATTGGATTTCGAAAACGAAGCACAGAATGCGCATAAGTGTGCCGCCGACTTAAGTAGCCTTGGAACATTGCGACCGGATGGAGCAGTGCACATTCCATGGGTCGACCGGAATCTTACCAGCAAACGAGTACTTACCACTGAATATATTGATGGAATCAAAATCAACCAGGTAGGTTTCGCTTGCTTTCTTATGGCTGCTTAGTCTCTTTCACAGCTATTTGGAGAGTAAATGTTACCATTATCATCCATTGTCCTTGTCTGCTGGCTGAGAAAAGACTCAGAGTGCCAAGTGAACTAACTGTAAGCTATTTGTCTCTTTTCACTTCTAGTTCTGACTTTTGTTATTCATTTTTATACGGTAATGGAAGGTAGGATTTTGATTGAATTTTTGAGAGTGATTCTTCACCGCCACACTCAGTTCGCCAACCATTGCACGTCCAGAAATGCACTGGACTGCCGTTACATCCGTTTGTAAATCATCAGTGGTACACACTCCATCTGTCTCATGTGGGACCAGAACTCACGGCCCTACTCCCCCGAGTCCATTGTTCAGACCACTAGGCCACAGCTAATGGCAGTCGCCATGGCGCGGTAATTAACTTTGATCTATTAAGTATATTTATTCTCAGATGTTAGAGGATAGGGTCGACCCTGCAGCCAACGCCGTGTTCCATTATTAGCCACCTTTAGTAACTACTGAATTTCATATCATATTGAAAACTGGCATTTGCATTAAATTCTCTAAGGAGATTTGTCCCAGCTACTTTCAGTCCGATAGCCGTTGCACAGTCGGAAGAGCGCTGGACGGTCTTCCCATCTTTTCATTAATCATCAATGGTGCGCATTCCGTCTACCCCTTCTGGGGCTAGAACCTGCGATACTTTATTATTTAATATCACTTTGTTTCTCTGCTTTTGACTTTTTCTTTTGGCAATATCTCATTCTGCAACTCGATCTGTCACGTTCAAGTGTTAGGGACCATTTTTGAGAAATTGAAAAATGTCTTGGCACTTACAAGAATGCCACTGTTTCATTTTTAATGGTCTCGATTACCACTGATTGAAGCGTTTTCTCGCTTCACTGGCAATCGTATGGTGTTTAAATTTGATATTCACTGCACATCTATGTGAACCCGATAGTGTCATTCAAAAATAGTCCTTTATACCTTCGCTGGGTTTAAGTTGTTTTTCACATTGGGTTAACCAACGGGCTAAGGGTTTACATTTAATACCAATTTCCGCGCTATAGAAATCCAAGATATCAATCATCCTTAACCCACCTATCTGCTCCATCTCTGTTCTCCCCCTATCCAACAGGTTTCAGCCCTTCGTGGAGCTGGTTTTTCACTTGCGGAGTTAGACAGACTTTTGGTCCGCACCTTCAGTCATCAAGTATTCTGCACCGGATTTGTCCATGGAGATCCTCATCCGGGCAACTTGTTGGTCCGGCGGCGACCGTCTCGTCGCACTGGTCAGCATCATTCTCCTCTACTCGTCTTGACTAAGAGCCTGCTGTCAACTGTTTGTGCTTTTGTTTTATTCTTCATCCGCCTTCCCGTCCAACTATGGAATCGTGCTTTATACGACATTCCTTTCACCCTTCCATTCATAAACACAACTCCATTGCAGTTAGTGTTATTGGATCACGGATTGTATGACAGTTTGCCAAACAGCCAGCGTATTGCACTTTGCAATATGTATCAGTCGATTCTGGATGGTGACGAAGTCAGTATGCGGCGTGCTTCCTCCGAGTTGGGTGTTGGAGGTGAGCGTTAACTTTCCTGGATTTTTGGTGAACTCGGTGTATCCAGGCTGCCACTTGTCCACTTCTCAATTACCCTTTTACTGTTTCATCATTTCGCCCGCGTTTCCTAAATCAGCGTCGTTTCTTCGTCCAAACATCAAGCAGAAGGATTATATGGAGTGGTTATATAGTCTTTCACGTGATCATTTTAGCTACGCATTTAATAATGGTGCCATTCAGCATTTCCTTTTTCGGACTTTATTGTGTCTACCTGATTATGATATGCTCCAAGGGTTCGTAGTGGAAATCTTTTGGATGTTAATTAACTCCACTTTATACAAACAAACAAACATCAGTCATTTTGTGTTTCAGAGACCGAAATACATAATGTAACTCCGCGGCGCTTTTGCCCTATGTTCAGTGCTCTTTGGGTTGCAGCCTGTTTGCTGAATCAACCACGCTTTTCTGTTCGGTACTTCATGGTTTGGCCATTTCTTCGATATGTGTTTCACTCCTAGGCGAATTGAAAGATACCGCATTTTCCAACGTTAAGAGGAGCATTTTGACGTGTAGCCACTCTGTTACAGTTGCCAGTTGCACGGGAAAGGGATTCTTACCGGGTCCGTCGTCCTCATTCTTGTCGTCACTTCGAGTTTAGTTCCGTTAAACAGCTACAATCTGAGCTTCGAAGTTCGATGGATTAGATTGTCTTGATTGGGTTTTTCAAAACCTTTATGCCGAGCCTCCTCGGGGTATCTTCAAGCCAGCATTGCTATCCTACTGGTGTCCTATATTTATCCATCTTATGTTCTGCCCATACTTAAATGAAACGTCCAGCTATAGAACTAATCTGTTTTCAATACTTCCCATTAGGTCATTACAATTATGAGCAAAAATCAGTCAACACAATATGCTAATGAAAGCTGGATTGAAGGCTGTTGCTGTTGTTGTTTGAACGGGACCAGCATGTTGGATCACTATTTAGGTCGATTCACTGGAGGCAGGCATCGCAGCCTACGTTATGCTACCATCGTCCGACATTGGGTAATTTCTGCAGGAGGAGGGTTTGTGCGAGAGCCTTCTACATACGCAATTCAGGCTGGATCATTCTAATGGCGATTATCTCAACTGACTTCACTCGGCGCTTTTTGAGCTCTTTAGGAGTAGATGATTTTAAATGCATCTGCTATTCGGATTTCATGTACGCCTATGAGCAAATACTCCATGATAGCACTGTCGATGCTTCTAGCCGTGCCTCTTCGTAGCAACGTTCAGAAACCATCCATTGAAGACAACTGAGGCAATCGCTTTAAGACTGATACAGCCTGGTGGCAGTCGGACTGTTCGCAGTGCTTGGCATTTTTGTTGAAAACCTTTTTTTTCACCAATCGAGTTGACCTCATCGATGCGTTGTTGACTAGCGTGTAGTACGTAGTGTATAGAAGCCCCGAGGAGAGTGTCTGAATTGTGCATTTATAGTGCTCTCGTACAAGTTCTCTTTTTGCTTTGGCTCCGCGAGAATTACCCAATGAAAGGCGATGGTGGCATAACGTTGGCTGTGAGGCCTGTTTCCAGTGAATCGACCTAAATAGCGATCCAATTTATTGGTCCCGTTCAAACAACAGCAGCAACAGCCTTCAACCTAACTTTCAGTAGCACATTGTGTTGACGGATTCTTTCTCATAATTGCAATGGCCTGATGAGAATTACTGAGAATTCCTGTCTTTATTTCCATCCTTAATTACAGCGACACTTCAACACCTGGCTGGTCTGTGCATTGTTGACCAGTTTCGGTGGATTTCCTTTTGTGGGATAAACAGGGGAAAATTGGTGTGCAACCAAACGCAGTTCGGTTCAGCTCAGTTGAACAACTGTAATCCTGGCATTGCAGCGCGGTGGGCCTAGCTACTACGATTCACCTCACAAATTAACAATCAATAACAACGACAAGAAAGTGACCTTGAACGCAAATATGATACAAAGAAATGGAATCAGGAAAGAAGTGCCTTAAACTAATCAGGATAAAATAAAGGTTGACAACTAGATGCAAGAAACCGATTGCAGGTACACACCACTGACCGCATGTCTGCGCCATGTCTGATAAAATCTCCAACCACTGATGTGGGCCATCCTGGGGGCTCCATCCACGAAGATGGCGTACATCAGCTTTACCAAGTCTTCCGGTCAACTTCTTTTTGCCTTTACTACATGTCATCGATTGACCGCCTCCCAGGTTCGCCCATTCAAGTGTAACAACGGTGCGTAATGCATGCCGAGGAAGTCGGTCAACGTTCATACAGAAGACATGACCTAGCCAGCGGAAGGGGTTAAGCTTTAGCAAACACACGTGAGGCCTTAGGATGCTTTGGACCATGGATTAAAAATTCTAAAACATAATGCGCTCGAGGGGTACTTGATGCACTCTCGTTTGTTTGCCTTCTTAGAACTTTTTGCCCATCCAACCTGTTTCCGACCTTTTTATTCGGTTCTTGCGTATGATATTTGTGTGTTTGGCTACTTTTCTCCACGTACTGCTGTTAATTATTTTCATCCTCGCAACCCCCCTCTTCTGTTCTCAAAATCAGCTTGATTTTTGTGCTAAACATTATGGCATATTGTTATTAGACGCTCCCTGGTGACAGGACGCTACTCGTGCGTGCACACTTGTTCAGTTTTCGTCGCCTGCTTTCAGTCGGTCACACTTCGTGCGTGTGTACTTCCACTTGCTACCAGCGTTACGGCAAACTAGCCTGCGATTTCGTACTCTATCATTTTGCGCTACTCTTAAGTAGTATATGAATGCACCTAAATGCACTTTCCTCCATCATTTTCGCAGATTGGTCTACATTCGGTGAGGTGTTGTTGCAGCGTCCATGGCGACGTTTCACACTGCGAGTACCACCTAAGCTAACCGAAGCGGATCGACAGTATTTGAGAGCGACCGCTGCGGAGCACTTTGATCGAGTTATGGCCGTACTTCAGGAAATGCCACGGCCCATGTTACTTTTCATACGGTAAGCTTCTGCTCGTCGCTCCATATTCACTGGAGCACACACCCGGTTGGTGATAACTACCACGAAATTTGCTTAAACTATTTACTCAGAATATTGTTTACAAATGGTTTTGATAACCGGATACTGTGTCCACTTACTGTCCAGTTGCTACCCAACCCTAGGGTTTTCTGGTTTGCATTTGGTCATTTTGTACCATCTGCTTATTGTCGCACATTTGTGGACAGCTACACCCTATGTCCACTGCTGGGCCTCCGGTTTTCTCGCATGAGTACTACTGTTTCAGTATATTACTTGCTTTTTGAATTTTTCTGTAGTGTACTTTTTAGTATCTCCGTTGTATTGCAGCACACTAGCTGAGGTTTGTTTCTCACCCTCAGCTAGCGTGCATTTTCACTGGATACCAAGAGTTTATCGGCAACATCTCGACTGGTGAGAAACTTCGGCCGCATCAACCCTAATCGGTTACTAGATAGCGCTCTGCAGATCAGCTGAGCACCTGAACAATTGCAAGCCACTTTAGAACAGCTATGGAGTGTAATCAAAGATGGACTTATTCAACTGCTGAACGAATTTGCTTCATTTAGCCACAGTAAGCATCCCAATAAGTCCCGCTAATGGTGCCGGTGAATTGATCGGGCGACAAAGAAGCGCAACGATTTTTGGAAAAAGTTTCAGGCAACCGGAGGGTTTATGCGTTGGCTACACTGCAAACGATCCTGGAACTTGGCAGTCAAATTACAGTGACATGCGAAATACCGCTATGAGCTAAGGTTGGCGCAATGGGAAAACAACTCTGAAGATATATTCTAGTTATGTTCAATCGAAGTTTTCCTTGAGAGAGGAAGTCGGTAACTTAATCATGGAGGACGTTTGCCACGCTACATTTGATGCAGATAAGGCAGCGTGCTGCGTGCCTTTCAAAAGGTATATCGTGTTGATAGCGGCTGTCCTATCTCCTCACAGCCTCATCGCCAAGTTGAAGCATACTGTTAAATGCCCCACTAAATGCACCTGTGGTCCCCGATGTGCTGACACACTTAGACCTCTACAAATCGGCTGGACCTGATAATGTGCATCCTGTTATCATGAAGCCACTTGCTACAATACTCCAGTCTCCTGTTTTGGATTTGTGCAGCATGTCAATTCAGGAAGGTAGGATGCCACAAGAAAGAGGCAGCTGTTGTAGGAATTCACAAAGGGGGCTCCAAATCATCCTCTGACAAGTATGGGTCAGTCAGCCTCGCTAGCGTCCTGCTCAACTGGTTGGAAAAGCTTATCAGGTAACGGATTTGTGGGCATTTAGCTGCCCATAACTTGATAGGAGGGGAACAGCACGGCTTCCTCAAGCGGAAGTCGTGCCTTACCAATCTTTTCTCCTTTTTATATGGGATAACTCGCTGTCTTGATGATGACATCTCAATCGAAGTTGGCTATTTAGATCTCAGTAAATCTTTGAACCCCATCATGGTTTGGAATGCATCCTCAGCTATTGAATTGGATAGCAAACTTTCTTTGCAAGAGAACCTTCCGAGTTAGAATTGGCGACTCCTGCTCAAGTGAGTGTACCGCTCGCAGCAGTGTTTCTCAGGATTCTGTTTTAGATCCGCTATTGATCCTTTTGTATATAAATGATTTGGCTCCGCTCCATGAGAACCCTTACTATGTCTTTGCAGACGATGCACAACTTGTAAACAGGGGTGATCGAGGCAAGTTGTCAAAAGACCTTTGCACTGTAGTGTGATAGCCTTCCACATGGGATTTGCCCCTTAATGCCAGTAAATGTCAGCTGTTGTCTTCCATAAATGGTGGGTTCACAGTGCCAACTACTGCCGGTTCCCTGACATTGCGACCCATTGATGAGGCTCGAGATTTGGCTATCATTATGACGAATATCTTCACAGCCTCAGCGCAGTGTCAGCATGCCGCCAATAAGGTGCGACAGGAATTATTCTGCAATGCGAAACCAGAGGTTTTCCTCCCATTCTCTAAAGCGGTGGTATGACGTCACTTAGAGTACTGTGTGCAGGCATGGGCACCTTATTTCAGAAAGGATGTGACCTGCATAGAAAAGGTCCAAAAACTGGTGACTAGGATGATTGAGGGCCAGCGCGGGAAATCATACGATGAACGCCTAAGGGACCTGGAGCGTTATCTATGGAGCGGCGCAGAGTACTAGGTGACTTGATAGAATCGTTCGAGCTTATAAAGGCCCTCAGTGGGATCAAGCCCTCCGATTTGTCTAAACATGCTACATTGACCACCTACGGTGTCATAAAGTTAAGATTCAGCATGAGAGGTCTGGGCCAGGTTCTTTGCAAATCGGATTGTTCATGATTGGAACGAACGCTTCCGCCTCATTTGTAAGAGCCACTGCAACAGTCCTCAAAAAAGACCTGGAAACGCGTTGGCCGGATCATTTTCCGGACTTATTGTAAATTTCTTAGCAATTGTCATAGGCCTTGAGGTCCATGACCCAAAATAGTACAGGGGTTGTCCTTGTCTTGCTTCGCTTTTTGCAGAGGAAGTGAAGACAACCTAGAAGTCGAAGTACCGGAGGCCCTGGTTTACTTGTTATGGCGGGAGCCTATTTTCGTCTTTGGAAACTGACCGTGATGATGCTTCATAAGCTGACACACATCTAGGCAGCTAATCTCCCCAACGTCCGGAATAGCAAACGCTATTACTAATCCGGCTTACTAAGTCTTAACAGCGGTTTACGGCAGTGTTCGTGTAGTGTTTGACAAGCCCTCTCGGAGTTTTAGGTGGAATTATTTTCTCAAAAACAAATCTACGCATCTCCTAACATTGTATTCGGATCTGCTATTTTACGATTGGTTGCACTGGTAGACTGCATCATTTTGGACAGGTTCCTTCTCCTATTTGGCCACACATTAATCAATGGAGTCCCGCTCTCTATTCAACTTTTACTCGCTTATCGCTCCTTCATCTGCTCCATTTTCCACTTCGTCTCAGGAATCTCAACCTGGTGCGGTCCATCTGTCGGTTGCACGGTGACCCCGTCGACCGTTACCTGGTGATGGTGGACAGCGCAGTGTTAGGAAGCTTCCTGGCTCACGGGAAGAACGCTGCGACCTCTGGAGCCAATTGGAGCACCTCCATTCGGGTGCATTTGAGGCTGCAGAGGTACCACTGGAAGTTGAGGTAAGTGCTACGTCGAAAGGTGGCTTCCACTATGAGTGCTTTGGGGTTATGTTCAGTGGATAGATGTGCACTTTGGGACTGTCTACTCAGGAAAGGTGTACCTGAGAAATATGTAAATATTATCCTATCATTATACGCGCGTAGCTCAAGCAGAGTGAGGGCTTACGGCAAGCTGTCGTCGCCCTTTAATATCTCCGGCGGTGTGAGTCAAGGATGCCCGCTGTCACCTTTCTTCTTCAACTTCGCTATTGATGAAGTCATGGAAATCGCGTTCACAGGACACGACTTAGAAGGTGTGGAGTTACTCCCAGGAGAACGACTTATTGACTTAGAGCATGCTGTTGATATTGCCCTAATCTGTGACCGCCCACAAACGTGCCAAGCCGCGCTGGACAGATTGGCACTGGCTGTCCGTCACTTCGGGCCTTGCTTCGCACCATCGAAGTGCAAATCGTTCCTCCAAGATTGTCAGGGACCGCCTCCTACGCTGACCCTTGGTGGGGATCATCTAAAAGTCGTTCAAAAATTCAACTACCTGGGAAGTTGTATCAGCGCTTGTGGGATTGAGGATGAGCTCACGAACCGTATAGCAAAAGCTCGAGGTGCTTTTGCCACGTATGCCGTCGGCGCGACATCACTCTCGCCCTGAAGAGTAAAGTGTACAATGCAGCGGTACGTTCGACCCTACTGTACAGTTTTGAAACCTGACCCCTTAGATCAACGGACATAAAGAGGCTCGTTACGTTCGACCATCGGTGCCTTCGAAATTTAGCTCACATCTGGTGGGTACACCGCGTGAGCAACGAGCGTGTTCGACGCCTTGTTTACTGCACAGGAAAAGGAACTGAACCGCTCAGCACCGTTATTTCACGCACCAGGCTCCGATGGCTTGGCCACGTGTTACGCATGCCAGCCCACCGACTCCCGCGATGTGTGTTCTTTGCGCGCCGGTGGCGTGGATTGAAGAAGAGGAAGGGTGGCCAAGCGATGACTTGGCCGAGAGGAATGAAGGTCCTCACTTTTGAGCTGGCCTCGGTTGGAGCGTCTCGACTCCCTGGTTGGGGCCCGAAAGACGATGAACACGTTTGGTTGGACACACTTGCTGACATGGCTAGGAGCCGACCTCAGTGGCGTTCGTGCTGTGAGTTTCTTTGTCCCACCCAATCCCTCTTAGCTTCCCCCTCCATCTGCGATCTCATTTCGTAGCGTGAAACATAATAATTTTTCTTATTGTGTAATAGTCGGCTGGTAGCTTACCGGAACGATGCTCATCCGTTACCGGTAGCTCAGCTGGCTTGTACCTGTAGCATTTTATTCCCTTTTTTTCTTTGATGTATTGCGGCACAGTAGCTGAGGTGTTTCCCACCTAACGTATGTAGTGTGTGTGCTTTGGGGTTATCCTCATTATTTAGCAGTACGAAAATGTCGCCGAGAAGGCGGAATCGAACCGCTCCGGCGTCAACCGGCTACGGGTTTGAAGCCCGCACCCCGGACCACCGAGGTTCATCCCGGCGGTCTGCCGTGCGATGCCATAAGATATAAATAGGTTATGTATGTCGTTTCAGCTATTTTTGGTACTCTTTGCGTATTTACTTTAGTTTGTGAAGTCATCCCTTTCTATGTACATATATTGTTTTCATCCTTCACCATCTGGATGTATGACTTCGTCTCCATCTTAACTGTCACACCTACGCCATTTTTTAAAAGTATGATTTGTAAGTAGTATCTGTTGAAAACAGAAAAGCCATCCAAGGTTCGCAGTTGCGTCGGCCATCAAGGTCTTCCATCTCCATGCTTCCCATTCAGTGGTCCAGTTGTCTATACGTACCTAATTGGTTGCACTATAGCATCCAGTCCATTAGTATTTATCATCCTTCTCCTCCGTCTACGCCCAATGCGTCTTGAGTCTTCTTCTGAATACTAAACTAGGTTAGCCTTCGGCATGATCCCACGGATGACAACGGACATCCGGCACGTTTACATTTCTTACTTAACGGTGAGCCTCTTCATATTGACTATATCCCCCATCTCTATTACCACATCTCTACGCTGCCTTATTTTCATTCATATTCTCTCAGAGCGGAAGCCGTCGTCACTTGGATCCGATCGTTGTTTTATCGGTTTCTTATCTTACTTGGCCGGGCTCCAGATCTTCAAGAACTGCGATCCATTTTCGCCCCTCCTGCAGCCACTGGATCATCCCTATTGGCTACATGAATATTTTCATCTAACCTGTATTTTATAGAACCTTCACTGCCTTGAATCATTTCTCCTGTCTTGTTATTTTCACCTTAACCATCATACGAAACTTGTCAAGCATTTCCTTTCTACCCGTTAAAACAATTGCTCCAATGCCGTAAGAATTCTGAGTTTTGTAGGAGTGCTATTTCACTTGCAGGCCTGAAGCACTACTTCACGTAAGAAAAAATCCTCTTGGAGGCTTTCTTCGCTACTTTTCAAGCTGCTCTTCGAACTACCGATGATTCTGTGTCTTCCCACTGTTGCACAAATTTCGCTGCTTCTTGTAGACCTCATCGTCAGAAAAACCTGACAGGAGCAATTAATTTGTACACGTTGCTGTCGAGCACACTGGCCGTACTCCTCAGTCAGTCTTCTTTCGTCCGGCCGCTGCGACGCAACGAAGTGGCACAGCTCATCACATTTACTCATCATACTGCATTGGTGAAAGCTACGCGTGAGCCACGGTAGGAACTGCTAGGCGCACATGAAGCGTCATAGGCCCTGGGGATCTACTCGAAAATTTATGACATAGGGACTTGCTTTCCAATGATCAGTACGCCTCATTAGTTCATTAATAGCTGACTTGCGTTTTCTCGGTCTGACTGATCCATGTTTTGGCGATTATAGATCTTTAGCCTTTTTAACCTAATAAGCAGGGTGGTATCATCGGACTAGCGTCATCATCGGAGGTTACACACGTAGGTTGTCTTCCCACAATTTTGTTTTCCAAGACGAGTGATTTGTTTCAACCTCAATCCCTGTTAACCTACATCAAGCAGTCTATGCACCAGACTGAAAAATGCAACATCGTGGTCAGAGGGCCAATAATTAACCTGGCTTATTCCATTGATTTTGCTGCCTTCCGCACGCGAGTTTCTGCTTCCTGCTTTTCTGATATACGCTTGGGAGCCTAGCTGTTGTACTAGGCTACCCGGTTTCTGAAGCTTGAATGAACTTTGTTTGCTCAACGGCCTCCTTGTTGACTGGAACAAAAGTACCCCGCGGTGTGGAGAAACCGTCCACCATATATTGAGCATATTACCAGAACATGTACAATGGCTTTGGGTTGTGTACATTAAACCAATACTAGCTAATGTAATGGTTGGTGATCTTCTCTGCTTATGAGAAGCTGCAACAAGTCTGTTGTGAATTTTGATGCTCATAGTACTATGTAGCTCTCCTCGAGGAGTTCAGGGGTATATATGGACTGGGATTACAGCCGATAAAGATCGTTTTGGAATCCAGTCATCGGAGACCACTTAAGCAAATGATGCACCCACGTCCACCAGTATGTGTTGTCTAAACCGGAACGGAGCCTCGTGAGTCACTTTCCTTCTTTCAGTTCCCCTGGTTGTTTGGTGTCCGAGAGTGATTGCCATGTCTGAGTATTCTCGAAGTGTGCCCGCACTCATCGTGTGTGTGTGTGTGTGTGTGTGTGTGTGTGTGTGTGTGTGTGTGAATTGCGGGGGTTTAGATGTGTCTCAAGTCATTCTCCTACCGCGAACTGCGGTGGGGTGAACGTGAACCTTTGCACAAAGCGAATAGCGACTTTCAATCCGTGGAACCCTTACTGTATCCGGCCTTGAGCTACTGACCACGAAATAACCTCTGGCTTGCTGATTCACTTCGATTGGCCACGTCACTTCCGCATGCATTTTACGCTTGCAAATGTGACACTTGAATTCTGTGTGTCTGTTAGTTATTTCCAATCCATCACTGATACGGTGAACACGCGCTGTTGTGAGTTTTGCACCTTGACTACGTCCCAGAACTCAAAGAGCTGTTTTGCGCAGCAGACCTTGGTCTTTGTTAGGGTTTGTGAAGCCTCTCCCATAGAACATGGATATGAACTGTGTTGCAAGAGAGTGGTGCCTCTAACATGCTATTCTTTATTGGGTGCCCAGTGAGCATTCTGGTCATGTATGGACATATTCGGAGCTGCGTTGTTATAATACATTGTCTAGTAAACATTTCTGGAAGTATAACCTCGAATATGAAGCCCTTTAACTACAGTTCACACGTACCAACGCAACACTACTCCATTTCGGCCGATAGTATCGACACTACAATTACATTTCGCATGAATAGAAATCCGTGGGCAAACAGTGGTCCACTTTTGTGTAGCCTGTGAGATTCTGTTCTTTTCTTCAAATCCTTATGCATCGTATCACGATGCTGAAAATCTGATGCATGAAGTTCAGTCCCTAGTTTGCTTCTCTGTCTTCAGTCCCATAAGCCTTCGAATTTTGCATGAGTTGTTCGGTGTCGCTGTTGTAGAGTTTTTTGCTATCTTGGTCAAATAGGCCAAACGTCCTCTTATTGTCGATATGCAAGTTGTCACCTGAGGAGTTGGGAACAGATCCCTTATCGGGTTAGCCTATTCAGGCCACTCTATTCACTGTGGCAGCTGTTTTTTTTCTCCACAAACACGATCAACCAGTTGGTCAGAGTAAGTCCCTGCTTCCCTCATTTCGTTACCCCAGGTGCCCCACTTGATTTTTGTTGATCAACTTTAGGTGAGGGAATATTCTCACTTTAGACGCCTTACTTTGTATGTCTGAGCAAGGACGATGACTTATCTGTCCACTTGCTGCACCTGGTTTCTTTTTGGCACTGGTGGGGATATCATCAGCAAATTGATCGACGGTTGCTAAAAGGGTAACCAATCTATCTCGGGGGTGATGTACTGCCGGTTTTCTTCAATAAGATCGGTTTTCCAGAATGCATGATAACTTCCTGGTTGGTTCAAACCTTGACGGCTGCCTTTGTACTTAGTCTGATCTTATCATTCCCTTTCTTCTATTTCCCACTGACGACAGGGGTACTTAATTGCGTTTTTTCTTTTCGAAAGCCTTTGACATCTGCTGTCTGATTGGTATCAGTCCTTTCTGAGAATTGTTGACATGGGGTCGACACATCAAATTGTTGTTGAGGTCCTAAACTGCTTCATCTGCGTTCTCCATTTCGGATATCCCATTCTAAATCCTCTCTCTTGAAACCTTGCTTTTTCAGTTCTTATCTTGTCGCTCGACCTATTTTGCTAACCTAAAGAGTGATCTATTAACATTTAGGCAGGATAACTACTTTGCTGGGTCTTATGTCTTTTATGCTTAACTTCTGATCTCTATCCGTTGCTGAAGTTCATTCACTCCAAAAACTTGGTGTATCGTTGCCATCATTGTGGCTGGTTTTGCAGTGTCTGTGCGCACATATGTACATTACACTTGAACATATTTTATGGAGAAAACATGTTCCAGTATCACAGATGCCCCTGTAATCCGACAACCTATAAATCGGTCCCGTGATCGGTCGGTCAGTGAGTACTTTATAGGTTGGTTAAGGTTCCACGTCGGAAAGATGCCACACGCGTCTGTCACAGCTCCTTATTCATAAACACATAGATGTAACTAGTTCAGAATATATAAAAATCAATTGACCACTTTTATTAAAACGCTGGTGTATTGTTACTAAACATGCAATGCTTAACCAGTTTCGTCGGATGAAACAAATTGAGAAAAGAAAACTGATGAAGTGAGAAGTACTTTGGTGGACTCACCACAGTGTTCGCATTGGGATCTGCTTTGTAGAGCCGAGATATTTACATGATAATAAGTATGGGTCATCTTGGCTGGCATTTTGGAAGCACACGTTTGCTTGTGTTCTATAGTCTAGCCAACACTAGTTATGAAATGCAAATGGACTAATGCTTCATCAACTCGTTTTTCAAACATGTTTGGGGCATAGAAAGTCTGTGTTGAGAGAGCGTCCCGTGACTGACACACTTGAAGGGAGAAGAAGTTTTGACGGCATTCCAGCTAGCTATACTGTACTGTCATCTTTAACTAATGAGCTCTCAGGTTGGTTTAGGGATTCAGTCCCAATGGCGGGCGGAACCTGCGGTTAACATTATTATAGATCTGCTAAGCCATAGTGTGGTCCTCCCGTAAGGGACGATAACAACTGTACCTTCCTAGGGACTTCTTTCTAAACTAGTAGGGCAAATGGAAGAGCCCCCTAACGTTCCTGAATGTTCTTTGTTGAGAAGTCTCTTGTTTCTGTCACGGGTGCCACGTTTAGATGGCCGTTCTGTCCTATATGTGCCTAAAATTAGCCCTTACCAACCCGAATGGGTTCAACAGGGAAGAATACTCGCGCCGTTACAGTGGCGCGTGCACCTGACACTTATTGCCGCTTCACGCATAGTTATTGTCAACTACAATCAAAGCAAAAACATAACCAATTCGAAAGTGATTGTAAAAAGGATCCCCTTAAACTAGTCGCCTAATCCATAAACGGCATTTTAACTTGATTCATTAGCACGTCCTAAATAACTAACTCCGAATTAATTCACTTGGATGCGAACCCCCCTAGACGACAAGTCCCACCGTTCTTAATTCGTCCTGGCTTGCTCGACACTTTCTGTATCAACCACTCCGCGTGGCCTGATGACGCGAACGTTGGTGTGTAAATTTTGCGGAGTCGCTTGGCGCTCTTGCAATACCTACCCTTGAAGATAGGCTGTACCGTCTCTGAGGAGATTTGACGCGGAGCATTTTTGACGGTCTACAGGTTCGTCCTGTTCGTCGGCGATGAGAGTTATCGACATATGGCTGTTGTTGGATGGCTTTCGATGACGTCTGTTTTTCTGCTGCAATGCCGAAGGTGTCCAACATGGTGTGCAGCGGAAGTGGAGGGTTCTTCATGTCGCACCCTAATTTGATTGCGATGGCGGACTCACATGTCATCGCCCATAGTGACGTCGTGCAGCAAATCTCCTCGATGGGCCGTCACTGTTGCCTCGATCCATCGTGCATGACCTGCTCGATAGTCACGGACGTAAACCGAGGCTCCAATGACGAACCCATTGCGAATAGTGAAAACCGAAGGCTGCGTTGGCTGCGCTTCGTGGTTGTCGCGCTACTTACCGTTCATCAATGCTTCGACTGGAGCTGCTGGATTTAGTGTGATCCGGTAAGAGTTCAAGAAGGCCTGAACACTTTCCTCGATGGTCCCCATCCCACTAGCTTTTCAAAGTGTTCTCTTGAAGGTGTCGATGAAACGCCCCACTTGGACAATTGCAATCATGGCGATCAAAATCTTCGAACATGGAGGACATAAACTGCGG